AGGAGGAGGATTCGGGAGGGTTAGGACTTGTCTTCTTCGTCCTTTTCACCTTGGAAGCTTGAGCTACCCATGCAGCACTCGCCTAACCAGAATGTATACACATCAGCAGGACTGACTACTTTGTTACATAGAGACGCTGTACTCACTGGGGCCTCGGGGTGCTGCTGTTCCAATGTGGGATTTTAATGTTGTAATGTATTGTATCCTAATGTATTAAATTCCTGTTGTTGTACTATATCGGTCGGCATTTTATTAAAATAAATTGTATTGTATCATATTTGTATGTTTTAAGAGAAAATAATATAAAATACAATACTTGTACTATTATATAGTGCAAAAACCACAAACCTTTGCCTCTGCCTCTTGAATTAATCCTTCGGTTGCTTGCACTGGGGAAGGGGTGAAGGAAGGAAATAATCAATAAAGCTTCCAAAGTCCACGCAATTCTCCTGTTGGGTCTGCTACCTTACAATTTAGGTTACGGACAGCTGAGCAACACAGACGTGGCCTCACAAACACATCAAAAAAACTACACACAAAATTACATTAGCTCATCACGAGAATACTAGGGTTTCTGGAAAGATTGGTTACGAGCCTGTATCCAAAATCGCCTTTTTCCTTTTTAAGCTCCTCAAACAGTAGGCAAAATCCTCAGGATTTTGAAAAGCTTCTCTCACAAAAGGAAACCTGGTTGGCCAGGCGAAAAAAAAAAAAAAAAAAAAAAAAAAAAAAAAACACCTTGATCCTGAAACCTAAAAATATAGGGCTCTGTTCTTGATTTTACTCTGCGTTCTAACAAATTTCCATCGATCGTAGCAATTCAAGAAAGACGACGCAGTAGTTTAACGGTAGAAGGAGAACTTAGGGAACAAAATGTGAAGGAAACCTGACGATTGATTTTTGCTGCTTCTGTCTGTATGTGAAGTATTGATGTGCATTTGTAACAAGGAATACAGCTAATGAGTAGTAACAACCGCCTTTCTTTATTCACTAGATCAGGAAGCACCACGCCTCCTGACAAGCCTCAGTGATCGCACAGTGGCCATCAGCAGCTCCAGCACGTTCCGCTGTCACGTTACTGGTGTCCCAGAGCCTCAGATAACCTGGTTTAAAAACAACCACCAAATACAGCAGGAACCCGGTAAGAGATGGTTTTCCTCGAATTCCCTCTTTCTCATCATTCTCTTCTTCCTTTAATGTTCCTCGCAGCTCCGTTGTGTACATCGAGAAACACTTGCGGACAGAGCTCTGGGTCATGCTTCTATTAACAACTTCTTCTTTTTTTTTTTAATGTTTATTTTTGAGAGACAGCGTGGGTGGGGGAGGGGCAGAGAGAGACGGAAACAGAGAATCCGAAGCAGGCTCCGGGCTCTGAGCCGTCAGCCCAGAGCCCAACGCGGGGCTCGAACCCACAGACCGCGAGATCATGACCTGAGCCGAAGTCGGACGCTTAACCGACCGAGCCACCCAGGCGCCCCATTGTTTATATTAACGTCTAATAAGGAATATTATTAGAGTTAGTTCTTTTGCACACCATATTCCTAACCCTGTAGAAGGATCCATACAGAATCTGCTTTAAATGGTACATTCATAAAGAAATGGTAAGAGCCCCTCAGAAAATGTGTCAGTTCAGCTTAACAGAGAACGTGAGGAGTTGGTTCCTTGGCTTGAGGTATGGCAGAACTTTGAACATCTGGTGTATATGAAGTTCAGGGTAGTTTTGTAAGCTTTTTTTTTTTTTTTTTTTTTTAGTTTTTATTTATTTTTGAAAGAGAGAGAGAGAGAGAGAGAGACAGCGTGTGAGCCAGGGAGGGGCAGAGCAGGAGACAGAATCTGAAGCAGGCTCCAGGCTGAGCTGTCAGCACAGAGCGCGATACTGGCTCAACCTGTGAACTCGAGATCATGACCTGAGCCAAAGTTGACGCTCAGCTGACTAAGCCATCCAGGCACCCCTAGAAGCTTTTTAATTCACCTATATCAGTTTTAATGACTTCGTAAAAAGAAGACTATTTTAAATGATAGAATACTGGTTTAAAAAAAAAAAATCTAAGTTAGTGGTCACGTCTTAATTTTCTTTCAATAAAAAATATACCGAAAGCCACCAGACTTAAATCAGTAAGTATCAACACTGTCTGTTGCCTGCCTGATAATTTTGTGATTAAATAAGATTAAAAGAAACTCATTTATAATTTTACTTAATAATTCCACTTATATTAAAAGTAAAACTGCCATTTATTAATTAAAAAAAAATTTTTTTGAACGTTTATTTATTTTTGAGACAGAGAGGGACAGAGCATGAACGGGAGAGGGGCAGAGAGAGAGGGAGACACAGAATCGAAAGTATGGGCCCAGGCTCTGAGCCATCAGCCCAGAGCCCACGGGGGCTCCGAACTCAACTCGGACGCGAGATTGTGACCTGAGTTGAAGTCGGACGCCCAACCGACTGAGCCACCCAGGCGCCCCAAAACTGCCGTTTATTTACAATAGCCCAACAACCGAAATCAAATGACTGGCAATACGGAATGGTCCTTAAATGTGAGTCCTCCGCTCAAAACAGAATCTCCGTTTGAGCTTGATGCTCACAAAGGGGTTGTGGTAGACCATCTCCAACGTTAAGGTATCTTAGAAAGGCCTTCCTCTAGGCCAGTCCCAAACTCACCATGTCCCATCATTTTTCTCCATGAGCAGCGCCTCCTCTCGTACTACGTCGTCTGCTTCATCGTCCACACCAGAAGCGGGTGACCTCCCCTCTGTCCTTCTCTGGTCTGTCACCAGGCTATCCGGGTTATGCACGTAAATAGGACATATGCCTCAAGTCCTCCCTTCCCTCCGCTGTCCTCTTGTCATTTTCTGGGTTCAGAGAACATCTCCTGACTGGTCTCTCCGCCTCTTTTTTCTCTCTTTGCATCTGTTTTCTACACAGCTGGATAAGAGGCGGCTGTGAACCTGGCACTTCCCTGCTTGCAAGTCTTCACGGGCTCCCTATCCCAAGTTCAAGCGTCTGACAGAGGAGGCCCTCAACAACTGGCCCTCGCTACTTCCCCAACTCCAAGCTCACCCTCCCCTGTTGAACCTTATGTTCTAGCGTCTCCAAGCTCTTGTAGATCCCGGGACTCCTTGTGCTGCTTCAACGCCCTCTGCTTCTTTTGTCCTTGTGTCCCCGCTGCCTGGAGTGCCTTGCCTTCATCGAACGCCTCCCTGTCCCTTAAGACCCAAGTCAGGTGTTCTTTCTCCAGAAAGCCTTACTCATCTCCTGCACAGAGGGGGCAGGTCCTCCCGGCATCTTTATTATTCATGACTGCTTCTCTTCGCCCTTACTGAGTTGTTCTGTGATCATCGGTCCATCTGTGGATTATCTGTGCCTATTCCCACCGCTCTCTTACTGTGGGTCTGCTCTCTCACTCCATGTTTGCCATCCTATCACATTCATCCTGAGGGCAGACAGTGCAACCTTCCTCTTATCTGTGTCTTCTCTTTTTGTCCTCCAAGCTGGCATAGTGCTTGGCAACCAATAAATGTTTCATGAGCAAGGAACGGATGAACGTTTTTCAGAAAATTTTATTCTGTCCTTAGCGAGGTTCACCTGGTAGCACAGATGTCTGGACTTCCGGGTGGTTGGGGAGACTCTATCTTAGGATTTTTAAAGCTAAAGGGACCGTTGGGGTATCTCTAGTTCCATTTGTAGAATAGAACATTTAGACCCAGCGAGGTAAAATGATTTGCCCAAAATGACACACTATTAAGATAGGTTGTTTCACAGAAAACGAATCCCTTGAGGCATTCTACCAAAACAAAAAGATGAATGAACACATGAATAAACACATATGTTTGTGTTGGGAAACAGTGCCTGGAATAGTCTCCCTTTAGCGATTCAGAGTCCACGTTAGTATATTAAAGACCTCAAGAAGTCCTGTTTTAAAGAAACCAGGCAAACTTCTTTAAAGTATTCCCCCAACTAACTTGATCACCAAATACATTTTACAAAATACTAATCTAAGATGTTGGGTGTTTCTTTGAAAGACGTAAATTTGGCTGACGTTGAGTTTTCATACTTTGGATGTGGGTTAAAGAATTAGAGTTGAACTGGGGCACCTGGGCGGCTCCGTTGGTTAAGCATCCAACTCTTGATTTCAGCTCAGGTCATGATCTTGTAGTTCGTGGGTTCGAGCTCCACATCAGGCTCTGCCCTGACAGTGTGGAGCCTGCTTGGGATTCTAAGCCTTTGGAAAGCTATACTGAGAGTAAATTTTAAAGCCTAAATAATACTTAAATGTATAATGAAATATATAATTATAAATGTATATTTACAAATATAAAACATATAATTAAGGGGCACCTGGGTGGCTCAGTCGGTTAAGTGTCCAACTTCAGCTCAGGTCCTGATCTCACGGTTCGTGGTTCGAGCCCCGCGTCAGGCTCTGTGCTGACAGCTCAGAGCCTGGAGCCTGCTTCGGATTCTGTGTCTCCTCCTCTCTCTGCCTTTCCCCTGCTCACATTCTGTCTCTGTCTCTCTCTCTCTCTCTCTCTCAAAAACAAACATTAAAAAAAACTAAAATATACAATTAAATATATGTAATGAAATATATAATTATAAAGACAACATTTACAAATAGAAAATATATAATCAAATATAAATAGATAATGGCTTGAAATCAGTTAAGCTGATTATTTCAAGTTTAAAGAGCCGGAAAATAAATTGCACGTCCTTTAAAGAGTTGCGACACGTGGCGACTCAAAAAACATTTATATACCGAGAGGATTTCGGTGGCCTTGGGTCATTGATAGGATCTGGCCCATCATCATTGTCATTTGTTAAATGGCAACGCACCCGAGTCCAAAGAAAATATGAGAGAGGAAGCAGGGCACACGTGAGAGCTTGTGCTCAGGACGAGTGGCCATAAAGTGCCTGCCGAAAGACCATAAGGGGAGAACTTTTCTCCTCCCTCCTCATTTCCTTTCAGGAAACCCTTCAGTGGGGCATAGCCATCCTAGAGAAGAAATGCAGTTTCGAGAAAGCCTGACGAAAGCTGAGTAGGCCTACTTTCTTGCAGTAGGCCACGGGGCATCTGCAGGAAAAAAGGGATGATAAGCACACAGGCCCCGGAAAGCGTGTGCACGGGGGACGCGAGGCAGCCTCCGCCAGGCCAACCCCGGGGAGAAGCAAGCAGGCACCTTGCAAACCACACGCCCACCACCCATGGGGCGGCCCTCCAGGCCAGCCCAGCTGCCGGCCCTCCAGGGCCTCTGGGGCCCCAAGTCACCCTGGACTCCCACCACTCCTGGAGGGTCTTTATTTCCCCTCCTGGGAACCACAGAGGCTGCCTCCACTGGAGATCCTTCTTCCTCATTCTAGTACGTCGGGATTCCTCCTTTCCTTCCATGTCTGGTTTATTTGCAGTTCGTGTCACAGAAGGGTTATTCTCTAGTTTTATGTGTGCCCGTTTTTAAAAGCTCTGAAGGCCGAATAGCTTAACAGGTCTTCTTCATTAAATAAAAATGCCTTGAGCGCTCAACCAGGAACCAAGGCACTGTGTGACCTTGACAACGACCTCATTCACTTTTCACAACTGTCATCAGAGGTAGGTACCGTTAGGAGATGCACTTGGCAGATGTAGTTTAACTTCACGAGCGCTGACTGGCTGCCTGTGCCTGTTCTGAGCGCGTCACTGAGGTCGATTAGTTTCCCCTTCATAACAATGTTAGGAGTCTTGCTAAATTACGACGCCTGTTTTCCAAAGGATGGGACGAGGACACAGACGCACAGAGAGGAGAAATAGCTGCCTCCAGATCACAGAGCCGGTGCCTGGTGGGCAGAGGCTGGGACCAGACCTTGACTCTGGGGCCCACATTCCGAACACTGGGCGTGTGGGGCTGACTGTGCCTGCGTATCACTCCCAAGTCACCAGTTTTAGTGACTCCGTGGACATTAACGTCATATTGGTCAAACAATATTTTCTCTTTTCTAACCCTTAAAGCTTAAGCTCCCCAAAGACTGCAGTTTATTTCTTAAATGTTAAAAATGTAAACCATATAAAAAATATTTAAAACTTTTTTTTTTTTTAAAAGCAGGCATGCCCACGGGGCGCCTGGCCGGATCGGTGGAGCATGCGACTCTTGATCTCAGGGTTGTGGGTTCGAGCC